TGCGAAAAAAAAGTCTGCAGTGTTTCCAAGTAAGGTTGAAACTTTATTACTAAGCAAAAATCTCACATACGAAAATTTCGTTTCAGTGGCACTTTAATGGTTTGCAGAAGGAGGTTAAAATGGAGAGGGAACGTGCTATCAGGCTCGAAAGTCACAGCCGAAGGAACAATTTGAATTTTCTAGCATCTCCGAAGATGCGTAGGAATATTTTGCTAAAACGGAGTCGATTCTTCGCAACTTTATGGAAAAAGAGCTTAGAGTTGAAGACGTGAAAGATATTTCTATCGAAAGAGCTCACAGGGTAGGCAAACTGAGTTCAGATGGCAAGCCTCGACCAATCATCGCCAAATTTAGCGTCTGCAGAGACAAGAACCATGTTTTGTCCAAGGCTCCGACCCTTGCTGGAAAAAATTTTGGAGTGTCTCCGGACTTCCCAAAAGAAATTGTCGACATCAGGAAATCGCTCTTACCACATCTAAGAGCTGCTAGGAAACGTGGATGCTCGGCGAAGCTGGTGTACTAAAAGTTGTACATTGATGGTCAGCTCTTCAAAGGAAGCCGATGAATAATTATAAAGAAACATATAAATATAGCACCCCGGTTTTCTGGTTTCATATCTGTTTCACTTCAATTTTCTCTCAGCTGAGAGGCGGCGCCTGTCTTATGATTTGTTTCTTTTTCCGGTTGATTTTAGACTTGCCCCAAGTCGACCTTTTCTTAATCCTTGACTTACTTATCTCCCTCGAGCGAAGCGAGAGGGTAATATTCGCGCAACGAAGTCAGGAGGGCGAGCGCGAGCGACGTGGGTCGCGAGAGGCTAACAATGGAAATATTATTGGAAAGGACTTTTAGAAAGTCTAGGTCAATTTCAGCGCCGAAATTCAGAATGTGTTCTCCAAGAAATGATTTAGTTTTTAGCAATAAGGCTATATTATGTGTAATCTTTTCTTGTAAGTGTGTGTTAATAGCTGCTTGGTTTTGTTTTTGTTCAATGTTTTTAGCTTTAATAGAGATAGAATTTGTTTTAGGTGCTCACAAGGTCTTGTATCGTTATGCTGTCCGTTTACGAGCTTATTATATTATTAAAAGTTTACTGAGGGAAGTCAATTTCTCTTACTGTCATTATGCTACACTCTTTTTCTTGCGTCACAATAAACACAAGGGGTCTCAATAACGCGCGAAAAAGAAGATAAGTTTTCAGATGGATGCCCATAAATAAATTTCAAGTAGTTTTTTTGCAAGAAACATATTGCTCCGGTAAAATTGAAAAACTCTGGTCGGCGGAGTGGGGAGGCAAAATGTTTTTTCTGTCACGGTTCAAAAAACATAGCAAAGGAACAGTGATCATGTTTAATCCGTCTGTGGATGCTGAAATTATTGAGTGTACAACGAACGAAAAAGGCCGAATTATAATACTAGAAGTCCGATTTGGTGACACGAAGCTTGTCTTTGTAAACATTTACGCTCCTAACATTGTCACGCTCTTGTTAACAAAAATCCCCGGATTTTGATCCTGCGTAACATTCTCGCAGTCAAAGAGATCTTGCTCGGTTCCAGTCCCATTGAGTTGTACACTTCCGCCCCAGTCTACTAAGCCTAAAGCCTGCGCTATCGACTTGCATGGTTCGTCGAGAGCGCCACAATCACTGACGTCTTTTCCGTGGCGAGAAACATGCACGTCATACACATGTTTATGTTTGTGGTCTTGAGCACCTAAGTTTTGTGTTATATCAGTTTCGTTAAAGCAATCCACTTTACAATCTGTCGCTGCCTAAGCTGGTATTCAAGAGATAGCAGCGGATCTGTCATGAAAATAGCGGCAGAAATAGCGTAACTCTCTTCAGCTTATTTCATGCTCATTTTAACTTCCAACTTGTACTTCAAAGGGAGGAGATTTCGCCGTTTTCGTAAGATTTCAGTTTCGACTAGAAACACCTTGGAAGCGATACCGTACAGTTTTCAACAAAGATGTTTTTGTTTATTTTCCGAAAACCTTGGCAGCTGTTGCCTTTTCGAAATCATAGCTGGCTGTTTTTTTCGGTACACAAAACGACATTTTTCTCAATCCGAAAACAAGAGGTAGTATATCTCTCATATGACGAAAGTTCAAGGCGACAATTGACTTAAGAAAATAGGAAGGTATTTAAGGCCTTCCTAAAATTTACTTAAAGCGATCCGTTGGGTCCCCCTGAGAAACTTGAGATATAACTGCCAGTACTTCTACAGAGCTGCTGATGATAAAATTCTATCTGTTCAATTTACTCATTGGAACAGGTAACTAACTGTGGCAAGCCACCCGTTTGTCTTTCATTCGCGCAGTTAAACGTACACGTTTTCTTTTTGTCTTACAGAACCTGGCGATCGAAAACTTTGTCTCCGCATTTTTACCGGTTATTTTGCAACTAGCTCGCAAATGTAAACAGCGTGGAAATAAACGGAGAGTGTTTGCCCCTTGGTTGTTTTTAAAACTTGAAAAACTTCCACTCACCAACTCTGGTGCTAAATTGGAGTAGAAGGAATACCAGAAGACGAGGTGACAAGATAAGCCAATACTCCGCCATCGAAAAACCCGCGATGTTAACTGTCATGTCTGGTCCTGAACTTAGTGGGAACGATTTAGAACACTGCATTTCAAGGACTTACTTCGCTTGGAAAATGAAACGACACTACGTGTTGCTGTAGATCACGTGCATATGAAAATGAAATATAATACGACCCTTATATTAAAACGGTATAAAATGAGAGGGCATGAAAACCTTTCAGTTTAATTATTACCGCACGGGAGAAGTAAGTGTTCAAATACACTCTTTTGTTATAAGAATATATTTTAAGACTATCGAGGCTGAAATTTGCAACATTTTACGAATATTTTAACAATAAACCGAGACTCATTTTATGCTGAAATGATTTGTAAATACAATACAATTATGTTTTAAACTTAACCGTATAAAGTTCTTCCTTTCTCTAAACGGCAAAACTAGGAAAAAAACAACAAAAACAGCATTAGTCACATGTTCGATGCTAATAACATTTCTGGGAGAAGTGATGTGCGTTGTATCAGGCTTTCATGCCTGCATGCAGGTTGGCTCAAAATTACTTTAACACCATTCAGACACCAAATACATTTGAAAATAGAAATGTCATACGTTATGATCTAAGAATATTCACAAGAAAATTTAAGCCTAAAATCGGCAGAAAAATAAGATTATTCAGCCTCTCCCGGAAAAACAATATTCTTATAAAAAAGGAGTCTAGTTCTCAGCGGTTTCACAAACAAACGAGGCCACTAGGTCATTCTGCATGTGTCATAACTTTCTCTTGGTTCGAAACTGGGCCAAGTCAGTTTGAAGAGAACAAGCATCACGACTTCTTTTTCTTTCA